GGCTCTTGTTGGCCTAGTGAAGGAGTAACCATGGTAACAGGGTGATAAATCATGTATCTGTATTGCGGAATTAGCTTTTGAAGTTCACTTAGTTGATTTCTTCTGCTATTAGTATCAGCTCGCACCTCTTGAAAACCAATCACATCTGGATTAGCTATTTTAATCTGCAAATAATGAAAATACAGATGCATTAGTATATTACATACATATATCATGTGTTTACAACAAATAGAACAAATAATTTTGAGTCATTGGAATTCACAGCTTGTTCTAGGTTTTGCCACTTCCTGTAAAGGCTTACCCTCTACTAATCCTCTGTCCCCTATCTCAGGTTCAATTTTCTATGATCTAATACCCTGAGTCCCACCCTTTGTAACAGCTCTACCTCTTCCCTCAGATCGGATTCTTCCTGTGGGTCCCACCCTCTGTGACAAAACTGTCTACTCCTTTTTTAATTTTAACAACCTCTTCTGTCCTCTCACCTATGATTTTTCTATGAATGAACACAAACCACCACCTTTTGTTTATTTTTTCTTTGTTCTCCTTCATAAACAAATTAAATACCCAGTAGGTTGCACTGATAATAATCAATGAACAAACAATACACCAAAGTTGTTTTCTTGTTTCTTTAGTGGGAACACTATCATATAAATAGCAAAGGAGGATAAAAAATTGAATTAATGGCAAGGCAAAAAATTATCTATAACCTTATCAAGGGAGAAACTTTTAGACTACAAATCATCAAAATTTTTTGTCACCTGTTCAGTTTTCGTCGCTGTACCTGCTGGAATTTTAAGACTATGAAGTAACAGATACAACTTGTTTGCATGCTTTTGAAGAGAGTAATACAATATTATTTTGGTCCGACTTGTTATATATTCTAAAAACTAAGGAATATTGGGAAAGGATGAGAAGGAATTTTTTAAGGAAAAGGAATTGAGACCTTAGCTACTTTTGAATTCGCAAACAACTTTTATCTTTAATTTCCCATACAGATCAATATATTGGTGGTGAAAGATCAATGGAGTGGAAAAATAATAACAATGTTTTGATCCATAAAACTATGGGGTTTTATTTTTCTCATTACCCTTACGCCTGACAGGGAAGTTGTGGTGATGTAAAAAAGAAGACTTAAGCGCACTGGAAAACAATATTACTTCAACAAATACAATTTAGTTAGGTCTAATTGAAACTAGGGAAATCTAAGAATTACCATTTTCGCAATGTACTGTTTTCTGGTATCCCACTGAAACATGACATTCCAGATATTGTAGCTGGCCACCGTTACGGTTTTTTGTCCAAAAACTTGACGACTGACGAAGAAAAACCCAGAGAAAGGTATCAACCATTGGAAGAAGAATCGAAACGCCATGATAACTCCTTGTCAGTTTGTTTTGGAGAATGAGTAAGCGGTTTTTATAGCCCGCTCTAAGTATGTCATATAACTGGTAACAAAGTGTGACTCAATGAAACTTCAGTTTCAACTGTAAGCGGTTGCTCCCAAACCCATGACGTCATAAAAATGAAATTTCTGAAAAAAATAATTATGGGATTTGTCAGGATATTCTGAAAGAACAATGTCCAAGAGGCCTACTTGCCAAAAATGAGCATTTCGGGGCAAATTGTCTCTGAGATTGTAGCCCAGTTATGCTTAGAAAACTCGATACAAACCCTTCTAAATTTTTTTGGGTCAACNTGAAACATGACATTCCAGATATTGTAGCTGGCCACCGTTACGGTTTTTTGTCCAAAAACTTGACGACTGACGAAGAAAAACCCAGAGAAAGGTATCAACCATTGCAAGAAGAATCGAAACGCCATGATAACTCCTTGTCAGTTTGTTTTGGAGAATGAGTAAGCGGTTTTTATAGCCCGCTCTAAGTATGTCATATAACTGGTAACAAAGTGTGACTCAATGAAACTTCAGTTTCAACTGTAAGCGGTTGCTCCCAAACCCATGACGTCATAAAAATGAAATTTCTGAAAAAAATAATTATGGGATTTGTCAGGATATTCTGAAAGAACAATGTCCAAGAGGCCTACTTGCCAAAAATGAGCATTTCGGGGCAAATTGTCTCTGAGATTGTAGCCCAGTTATGCTTAGAAAACTCGATACAAACCCTTCTAAATTTTTTTGGGTCAACCCCCCCCCCTCCCCCAAGAATTAGAATGGTTTATATAGAAACAAAATTCAGGGTTTCCACAGGCATCCCAAGCTCATGTTACGAGTGTTTTATGTAAATTATCTGAAAAGAGAGTCGGTGTCGCGTTACAAGCAACCGTCGAGACTTTTTATGAAAAATAAAATACTGAGGTCTGCGAAGGCTAAATATCATTTTATTTGTACTTTTTTCTATAAAATGAATAAAGGAGACCTACCTTTGATGTATTTCCTATGTTTTTTGGTGAGATTTCATCGATTTAGTTGGTTTTTTTGGGGGGTTATTGTGTGACCTCTGTCACTCTCTTTACATCAAAGGTAAGTCTCCTTTATTTATTTCATAGGAAAAAAGTAAAATAAAATGATATTTAGCATTTGCAGACCTCAGTATGTTATTTCTCATTCAAAGTCTCAACGGTCACTTGTAACGTGACACCAACTCTCTTGTGAGATAATTCACATAAGACACTCGTAACATGACTGGGCTTGGGATGCCTGTGGGATCCCACGTTTCTTTTTACAACTTTCAAAATAGAACTTGTTGGGGCCTTCACTCTGATGAGAAGTATTCTTTGTGTGAGTGTGTGACTAATGTGAGTGGGGTGGAAAAGAGCTTCATGGGGAGGGGGTTTACGTTGGAAGAGGGCAAGAAAAAATACAGGGATAAGGCCATATATCAGACAACTTTGATAATATTTGTCACGCCCACACTTATTCCTTAATTGTAAATTTTATATATATGCCACTTGACATTACACTGATTTTGATTCTATGTGAGGGATGGGGAGATATGGAGCTGGGTAGCCCACAAGCAAGCTCTCCAGGGCACTTTGGTGGTGGGGCGGGAAAATGAAGGATAGCTTGCAATTACATCTCTGGAATTTGATTTCTACCTCCAATTCCCCTGTGGCTCCTCATTGACTGAGCTGTCAGATCTCTGCCAGTCAGCATGAAAGTGGAAACGAGTGTGAAATACGTAAACAAACATTATTGAAAAACATGTTCCAAAGGTAATGATGTCATTACTAGTGTCATCTCCGCCAATCAGCATTTCACATCAACTTTTTCAATGCGGATATTCAAATTCCAGAGATGTAGTTGCAAGCTCTCCTTGTCCTTGTCCTCTAACCAGCCTGGAAAAGTATGCAGCTGGTACAGAGGATTACACTCACACAAGATCTGTAAAAACCAGCAAATAAGAACCTAAACTTTCCTAAGTAAGTCTATACAGAGGGTTCTTGTAACGTAAATGGTAATTACCACAAATTTTGTCTCGTTATGACCGGAATTTCCGAACATTCCCGACAATTTTCTGAGGACTTCCGAACACTGCCGAAAATGTCCGAAGAAGTTCCGAAGACCCTTGAATGACGATATTTTAGTGTGTTGTGGTAAAGTAAAGTGCCTTTTTGGATTCAGGAATATTGAATTTAATTTTCGTTGTTAATCATGTGTTAAAGAAGAATTCGTCCGGGTTTGTGAGTCAGGCAACTCTTGAACAGGAACTACGCACTCTAACTACAGAGTTCAGACGTCCACACTCTGAGTGCGTATTACGCACTCTCAACCGTCCATTAATGATCCGTGGTCGCAGAGGTTTCTCCTAGGTCTTACAACTGAAATCTTATTTGCCCAAGTGTACAGATTTTTTTCATGCATTTTAGGAAATAAGAACCTGTTTCAAATTTTGGGCTAAACAGCTTCTTGTATTGAGGGTGCCTGGCTGGCAAATTTTAGCCCAACAGGTTCTTAAAACCAGGTTGTTAGATGCGCGTTTTTACTGCAGTCTGCATTGTTTTGTTTGGGTAGAATACATGTACCTACTCCTTAACCCATTAAAGTAGGGCGTCAATGCTTCCATCCAACAGCATGACCGTCCTCCATCTGAGGCTCTAGAAAACCACGGAAGGCTGATCCATCATGACTCCAGCGGGCACCATATCCTTCTGAACACCTCACCTCAATCACCTTAAGATCATGTGGTAGCAGATGAATGTTGATCCATGATGAATCATTTAATATTCGATTTAGCACTGTGTTAGCATGCTCATTCTTGACTTGTTCACTTCCAGCACAGGCACCCCACCATTCACTAGTAACATCTCTGTGGCAATGTTTTGACAGTGCCCTGGCCCCAACAGTCAAATTTGAATTTGGTTTATGTTTCTTATTGAATGATGCAAGAAGTGATGACACTGAAGGTGGTAAAACATTAACACTTCCTTGAGTGTGACAGATATTCAACAAATCAAGAATTCCTCTAATGCCAAGAAGTTTTAGTACTAAAGTTAACTGATGAGCTTTTTCAAAATCAGAAGTCTCTGTCCAGGAACTCCTGAGAGCTTCAAGTAGTGGTGTAGTTTTCTTTGTCATTTCCTCTCTTTGAGCAATAAAATCTCCTTCAGTCAATAAACCACAATCTTTACTTTTTACGGGAAAATCCCCATTTTCCATCCACAGCAGTAACTTTTTAGAAAGTTCAATATAAAGAGGGAACTTCGGATACTTTCCTGTTTCTGATGTTAAAGAAGAAATAGATTCTTCAGGATTCAGTAATCCCTTGCAATGTTCAGCAGGAAGTAAACCAGTCTCCTTTGCTATTTCCTGTTCTAAGACGCTCTTTAACACAGCACTGAGATTCTTTATTGACACCATCGTTAGGAGACGTGCCATTGTCGCATATACAAGGTGGTTTTCTTTAATTAGAGCCCAGTCTCCGAAGTGCTATTTCTCCGCTCAAGTTTCAAAATGGCGTCTGATGGTAAGTGAGAGATAAACAGCTTCGGTTAAAAACGATCTGTATTCATTTAGAAGGGATATATATGCTGATTTCTATTCCTACCTAGACGAGATCATTCGGAAGAGGTTACTGATCGATGGTGAAGGCGCCGGTGATGATCGTAGAATCACTGCTCTTTTAAAGACGTTTTTAAAATGGTGTAATTCAACCGGAACAGAAGAAGGCGATAGGTTGGAGCTATTTCTCCTCTTTTTTTTAGTCTTTTAATCTTGATTGATCCTTTGGTACGTCTGGCCTCATTTGAGAGAGTTTTTGAGTGGTTCCGCTCACGTTTTAGGTCGTTTCACCGACGTGTTTTTACTCGACTACTTGATTTTTACTTGTTAAAGCTTACATTGATAAAACAACGTGGTGTTTGCAGGCTGAGTGAAATAGCTGAAATACTATCTGTAGTAAACGCAAACGTTTTCAGGTTGTTTTTTCGTTGATGTTACAGTTCTTTAACCCGTGTCATTAGCATTAGTAGAAGAGTATTTACCCAAAATAGTTATCACGTTTATGGTAGGTTAGGTGACAATAGGTGAATTGACTGGCGAAATACAAGACTATGTAGGTAACTATTTTAACTTCAGCAGGACTAACTCAGTTGCCAGAGAACTTGACTGTACCGTTGGAGGTCATGGGTTTGATCCTTAGGGCTGGACCAAGTGGCCCGAGCCTTATCTGGCTGTCTCATCTCTAGTAATAATGTGAATTGTTTTTAGCGTCCTCAATTGGTTCATGTACTTTTTTGCTAAATACATTGACACTGAAATAAAGTGCGTTTTTCATAGTCTTGCATAGGTATATAGTAGGGGCTTATTGCAGCTCGTGGTACCCAAATATCTGATAAACTTTGAAATCCTTTTGTTAAATTTCATTTTACAGTGATGCTACTTATCAGAAGATGCTTATACAGCTTGCTCAATGTGAATTCGCAATTGGCAAGACTCAGACTGTGTTTGAGATGAATGAGCTTGAAACCGAGAACTATGAGAAAACATACAAAGAGATTGGTAAGTGCAAGCCATAGGATGAATAAAAAACTAATCGTAGAAAAGTTAAAAGGGCTGTGTCGTGGCTGTCTGGCTAGTTCATTTGGTTAATATTATAAGTAATGCATCTTTGTTTGCCAAGCTACTTAAAGTTAAAGTTAAAGGAATTTAATTTCACAGTGTGGGCACTCAAACTGGGACACTTGGAAGAAGATTGCCCAATCACTAAGTCTTTTTTTCTCAAAACAGAAGATTCTCAAGTTTTTTTTTACAAATGAATAAACATCATTCATAAATTTGAGGGCTGTTTCCTGAGCAGTCAGGTAAGTTCAAACAGTTTTAAAGTCTTCAACAGTTGCATTGTTGAACCATAAATTTTATTGGTCTGTTTTCAAAAATGCTTGAGAATCTTTTGTTTTTAGAGAAAACGTTGTGATTGGACAATCTTCCTATCCTGGTGTCCTGGTTTGAGTGTCCGCACTGTGAATGACAAAATAGCAGCTTCTTATCAAACAAATATCTCTCCCAAAGTGTTATATCAAATGTTACATTAGCAAAAATGAACTTTGAAAAACTTTTAGGCTAACAAGCTTTCAAAAATTTAAATTTCAATCCATTTTGATCTCTTCATGTTTGTCCACCCAGGCCTTCTTTTGCAGTTGCCGTGTTATTTATACCTTTCGCAATTTGATGGCAGTTCTTACTGCTTGGATTTTGTAACATTTTTGACACAGCTCGATTGAAGTTTCTAAAGGAGTTCTCAAACTTATTAATTATTCATGCAGTCAGAAGCGAAAAATTACAGCCATTTGGGTCAGTTGGATGAATCTTGATGAAACACCAGATAAAACACCTCCAGTTTTTCATCCAAGATGACATGCTTTTCAACTGAGATCAGACACGTTCATTTTAATGAGAAGTTTTACTGGTTCTGTAACACAACTCATGGAAACAATGCAATACCCGGGAAAACATGTCACTCCATAATTTCTTACTGTTTCATTTGAGAAGACGTATGTCAAAAACTTGGGCTTTGTGCTTCATCATGGGTTCCAAACTCGACCTACAGTTCATGTTTTCATCCATATTGTTTCTTGGTGTTTGGAACCCTTGGTGAAGCATTTTCTTGGCGTTTGTGAAGTGGCATCCTTTTTCTCTATCAAACAATTTCTTTTGTATTCTGGGGTAGATGATTTTTCAGTCACTTTAGATCCACAGGAACTTTTGTTGTTGTCTGTCTTTATTTTGAAGGTACATGTATTTATAAAGTGATGTTGATATTTCAGAACAGAGTATTTCACATGCCTATCAGGAAATTGCAGCATGTAAGACTGAACTGCAACAAGCAAAAAGAATACGGAGAAATAGACAAGGTCTGTTTATTTTTATTTATCAACTACCCACAGTAAATATTGTTACCTTCTGATACATTTTTAGAGTGCTTATTGAAAATCCTATCACCTCTGTAATTATTTATTCTATGGCAATGAAATGAATTTATGCTCTTTTGTTGGCCCTATTTGATTTCTTCAGAATATGATGCCCTTGCCAAAGTTATAAGCAAGCAACCAGAGAGACAGGAAACACTCAAGTAAGCGATGAATCTCTTTTATTGAGTATTTCATGCATTCTGACCAATTAAAATACAAATGGAGATTGGAAATTGGAAACATCATTTTGATCCAAAGTTTCCTCTTTGTTGTTGTTGTGTTGTTTTGTATAGCTGATGTAGTGCAAACATATTGAGCAGTGTGCAACGAAAGTAATGTTCATTAGCCCAGGACTAGTGGATTTTACTATCAGGCTAGTGAATTCTGTTCTTAACTAAACTTACTTGATGGACAAGTGAGGCTTTTTGGCAAATTCAAATAATAATTATTAGTAATAATATTATTTCAGAAGAACTATAAAAAATCTTGCTTATAAATAATAATTTTTGGGTTAGTTGAAATGACTTTTGGGCCAGTGCATGCATCTGGACTAGTAACCAGGAAGAAGTTCATAGGTTCAACTCCTGCTGGGAGAACTCAGACTTTTTTCTTCCGAGCCGCCTGTGTCACTGATTGAAAAATCATATTTCTCATGTATTCACTAGGATCAAAATTTACCATCCCATCTCTACCATTGTGCATAATCACACAATTATTGACATTTCTAGTCCTAACAGTCTGCTGGATGTTTGTCACATGAACCTATTGTAGTTTAATGGCCTTAATTCCCATGAGTCTCCTTTAGCTCAGCAGTAGAGCAACTGGACTAGTAACCAGAAGGTCATAAGTTTAACTGCTATTACAAGTACCTGGATTTTTTCTTCCAAGCTGCCAGTGTCGGTGACTGAACAATGTTCTTTCTCTGATGTTCGAATGGCAAGCTGTAAATGCACCCTGAGTGAGCGGTCTAGGCTGGAATTTCCCTGACTCACCCACACTTGAAACATGAACTACTCTCTTCTTCCTTAAGAGCTTTGGTTCCATTTAGGGTAGCAAATGTTTGATCAACTTAGCTGATAGAATAACATTTTGTTTCTTGCTCCTCTGCCAATGCAGTGCTTGGTACAGTTTCTTTAGCAACTAACTTCTTTATTTGAGGATGTGATGAGCCAGTACATGTATCCCATTCTTAAGTTTGAACAGGGGGAGGGGTGGGTGGCTAGCAAGACAGCAACCCTGTCCCCAGGGTCTTCTCGTTTTCCAATATGGTGAATGAGGTTGGCAATATAATGAACTGTTGTTAAGTCATACATGTACTTTCACAGCTTGTCTACTAAAATTCTCCCCGACCCAGCCTTTGTTTATGTATACCATGTTTGAAATGGTTGCAAGTGTTTTATAAATATTAATTATGGTAGTATCAAATTTAAAAATGAACACACCAGTTACTAACTAACTAACTAACTATCTAACTTACTAACAAGATGGAATGATTTGTATCAAGTAGAAATGTTTCTGCCCCACAGACAAATAGAGGGACTTGACAAGGAGCTTAATTCTCTAACTGAAACAAAGGAGAGTCTCTTATCCAAGGTAAATTAATTGATTTCATCATTTTCCGTTTCTTTTGCATACGTAATTGACTTTATGAAAGAGACGCAATAGAAAAGGACTGAAGAAAAACATTTGAACCACACATGGCAGTTCACCTTAGAAAGGTCTTCAAGAAAATTACAGTAAAAGCCTGCGACTAAGAACCTGCATTTTCCCGAGTTCACCTGAATAGGTTCTGACATAAATGGTAATTAGCGCAAATTTAGGCTCTTTTGGTACTTGAATAGGTTCTTATATTCTGAAGGAAAAAATACATTGTAGCTTAGAGTATTTTAGGGTGTTCAGATTCCTTAAGTAAAATCTGCACATCATTACAGTGCAGTTGGAGTGATAAGGCACTTATGTCTCCAAAGAGGATCCTGAACGTTGACTTATCGTATTTTCTCAACTGTACAGAATTTTTTAAAAAAACTTGTAGAAAATAAGAACCTGTTTCAAATTTTAAGCTGAATAGGTTCTTGTATAGAGGGGACCTAACTGGCAAATTTCAGCCTAACAGGTTCTTAAAAACCAGGCTCGTAGTCGCGGGTTTTTGCTGTATTCCTTAGATACGGTTGCCTTTACGAGCTGCTGATGTCTGGTTAGAAAGTCAGTCCGTTATAATTATTGTATGTTCATGTACGCGTTTTTATTTTTTTTCCTTTTAGCTGGAACTTCGGCAGAAACAGTTTCATCTTCTTATCAACACGATTCATGAATTACAACGAATGTTGGAAGGTAAGTGTAACATAGTTGATTTTTCAATGTGGGGTTACTCTTGCAATTTTTAAAACCCTCTATATACGAAAACGTAGTGAAAATTCTAATCTTCTTTGCTGTTCTTCTTTATTTTCTTAACCGTCGGTTGCGTTTTCAGGACTTTATAGGTCGGTAAGTCGGTTTAAAAAGAGAAAGAAAACAACGGATGTTTTTGGTGAAAATGAAAGAAGCTACAGCGTAGCTTGTTGGCCTTTTTTTGTGAAAGTTGACTTTTGCTCAAGAAAATTAAGTGCGTTCCTGCTCGTAAGGTTCAAGTGAACAACATTAAAAAAATAAACTTGAGTTAGCAGTAACCGCATTATTTTTTTTCTCGTTATTTTCCCTTTTCTTTATTTTTCCTTATCAATTGGTTTCGAAAACGTCAAAATTTCATGGATCAGACGACAGTTACGGAGAGAAAAAAATGCGGCTGGATGGCCTTTATTAACAAATCAACTCAGTTGGGTGTCGTTTTGTGTTTGAGCAGCGAAAAAAAAAAACAATTGTGAGGTTTCAAAACGTTTTCTCAATGGTAACCTGAGGGAACAGCCGACATTCCACAACGCCACTACTGGTTTCCCCGCGAATCGACGGCTGAGAAACGAGCGCAGACGATCACGCGCCACTTTCGAGATCAGTTGAGCCGCGTTTGAAATTGGCTTTAGCCAATCAGAAGCACTACCCAGATCTGGGTAGTGACGCATCATGAGTATGGAATTTCTGCGTTCGTTTCTCAGACGTCATTTCGAGTGGAAACCCGTGGTGGCGTCGCGAAATTACGTCTGTTTTCTCAGGCTTACTCACGGGCTGTGTGTGGCGGAGAGGAGGAAAGTGCAGCTCCCCCACCCCCGCCACACCCTATGCTAGTTCAACAGTCCAGTTAACCTGCAGATGATCGTTCCCTAGTCGCTCAGTTTTCTTGTTCCACGAACGCCTCGTGCTTCGCTCGCCCGAAAACGCGAAAAATGAGAACCTTTTCTGCAGGCCACTGTCAGGAGCGCTACTGTCCAGTTAAATGACGGTGTTATTAATGTTCTCTCAACAGAAGACAAGACTGATTCTGATGAGCCATCTACAAGTTCTGGTACTGAAAGCTCTGCCATGGACACAAGCTAGAGGCCGTAGTCTTGAAATATTTTTCTGCACTTTGTAAATAATATTTTGAGTAATAAATAATGTTAGGGACATTTCTTGCATCCAGCCGGTCTGTCTTCGCATGTGCGCTGTTTTTCACTTTGGGTTCTGGTCGACCACGGAGTCAAATATCGAGGAAGATGCTTCAAAACAAACTTGTTTTAAGTTTCACACTTTTTCAGTATGGGCGTTAGGAACAGGGCATCTAATTCTCGGGCGTCTTATTCTAACAGAGGATACCATCCTTGTTTGCGTGGTGAAGATTGCATTTTGTTTTCTTCGAAGTATCGATTTGGTCGAAATTAAGCTTTTAAAAATACTATTTGGAATTGTAGAAAGCTTCCTAAAATCACTGCCATGTGCTCACTTCTCTTTGATTTTCTTTGCTTTCGTTCTAAGTTATTTCAAGAAAATAGAATACTCAGGTCGAAAAGTAAATCAATAAAACAAAAACCTGGGATTAAGCGCCCTCTTGCTATGTTCCTTAAAATGGGAGCTGTCCACAGACTTTCCCGTTCCCCGGAAAACGAGAACTCCTGATCACAGGTTACCGATGTCAGAGCGAGGGCACCACAAGCGATGGCTAGCCCTCGGGTCAAAAATTGTAGGCGAGTTCCTCTACTTGATCACGAGGAACCGGGGCTTTAGCTCCCCGCAGCCCCACACGTATGCTAGGCATCGCCCGTACCATTCAAAACGTCTATAATTATTGAAACCACTACCTATAACCTCGCCAACTTACTACGCTTGTGGGAATCAGTTAGCACGCATGCGCAAACGAAGTTTACATTATTACATTCTCGTCCCCAGACTCCTGGTTTAATTTGAAAGGGACGTTTCAAGACCGCGTCCATGTGACCAAAAGAAACGACGGGCTCTGGGGACGAATATAATATTACTTAGAAAAGCAATCTCGTTCCAGAGGCCGCGATCCTTTTGGTAAGCGACAACCTCGTTTTCAGGGTCCACTCCTCCTCGGCCCCGTCTTTCGCCACAGGGGCCGAGTAGGAGAGGATCCTTGGAATGAGATGGGGTCAGCGACTGGGATCAGGACCGCGACCTCTGGGAATTAGGAGCCTACTAATTGTCAGGTGACCCAGCAGCCTGTTTTACAGTCCTTTTCTGCTATTTTTCTAATTCTGGGACGACTTGCAGCCCATTTTTTAAGCTCTAACATGTATCCGGAGGGGAAAAGACGAGACTAATACGGCCCAAAAAATTCCAAGTGCACACGTAGACGCGTCAAACTTGGTTTTGTTTTCCCAAATAAATGTAGGTCATGTGATTATATTCTTTTGAAGAACTATTTCTTTCAAATTTCGTTTTTTCTCGTGCATTTGTCAGCATAATTTATGAAATGACAGAAGGGCAAATTCGCTTAAGAAACATTTGTCGAACAGCATATAAGCCCAAGAGGTTTGTGACGGCCATCACAGCGCACGGTGTTCATCACATCACCGGGGGATAATCCGTGTCAGTAGACCCGAAAGAAAATGCAGTAAAGATACACTTAACTTGTCCTCTACCTTACCCCTTGACTGGTAACGTACGTACTTTTGCAACTACGGTATGACAGTATAGCTCTTTAAAATATTGTGTGCTTAACCCCAGCTCTGGCCGTCTGTCACGCAATTCTACGTTACGCTCTCAGCGTTGCGTGACATAGCGGACCAGAACTGGACAAAGAACTTTATTGAAAAAAAACATAGTCTAAGGACTCTCAACATTTTCAAACTATTCTTTTTATTCGCGCATATTATTTAGGGGAATTAAATACTGATGAACGGCTTTCTGTAGGGGTTGAAGGCGGAAACAGCTAAACAGAGTAATACCGTGCTTTTTGACCAACTAGATTGATGAAAGATAACAGTACCATAAGAGAATGGCTGTGGAAAATATACAAACGATCATAGACAACTTTATACAAAGGCTATATAAATACGCTAAATTTGTTCACAGTAACTTTCCACCTCGAAGCGTGCTAGAAACCAAAAAGTATCCCGTTTTTCACAAAGGTAAATCATGAGAAAAGAAAAAAACTGTCTAAACCCTTAAAGCATGAAAAAAATTATATTCTGATTTTATGATTCACGGGCTACTAGTCACTCCACTAGTAGGCTGGAAGAGAGCAATAGTACACTGCAACTTTGATCTTGGGAGCAATTTTATGAAATCTGGAGTAAAGTTAAACGGTTTGACCAAAGAGGAGGAGAAAATCATCAAGATTTCATAGAAACGCGGTCTTGCAAAATTCGTGAATCATCTGAAATATTCTTCATTTTTCGAGCGATAGTTAAAATAGCATACGAGTTGTTCCGAAACTCTGAACTATCATTCATATGCTGGCTTGTACACGTTCAAAGCCTGAATTGGTTAAACGGCCTCGGAATCTTTTCGATCGAGGCTTACTACGAGGCCGCATGGTTGTCGATAGAACGAAGAGGGTAATGGCACATTTCGTTCACACAGGCTTTTCCCCGACCCCAATTCCTTCCATACAAGCTGCTAAGAAGAATTTGCAAAGAAAGATACTCCACAAGGAAGCAACCAAATTCCAGGATAGTTACTCACGCACGCTACTAGAATCATTTTGTGTTAAAGACGCGGATTTCTAGCAAATTGGACGATAGCTCTGCGACCACACTCAATCCAAAACTAGTGAATAACTCGTCTCCCATAGCAATATTACACATTTTTAAAAAAATGTTGTTCGCATATAGACGCACAACTGCATGTGAGCTGGGCGCCATGTAATGTATTCCTCGAAAAATATTCTTGTATCCATTGTTAAGAGGCTATAGTACAAAGAGTACAAAGTGAAATCAGTTGAACTGTTCTAACAGGTCACGACCCATCATTTTTATCCATGTTGTTCGTCTCCGCGTGTTCTCACTAAACAACGCCTACTCGGCGTCCATATCTTCTGTATCTGAGCACAAATCGATCATGGTTACCGGACGCACTGCCTTTGTCGCAGTCGACTCCACGTTTTTATCCGAATGCACGGCCTCCGAGCCTTGAACCTCATCTATGCAGACAGGAGGGCTTGGGGAGGTAGGGGTAGTGGCAGAGGGTGTGGTCCCATCAACATCAATATTTTCCGACTCGGGTGAGGCAGCAGTGGGTGTCCCTCCCGCGGCCACGTTAGTAGATGACGACGCCCCAATCAAACATTGTTGACAGTTATAAGAGTCCATAGCCTCGGCTTTCTCTGGGCTTAGTCCCACACATGCTAAGTGGTACCATTTTTCACAGACGTCGCACTGCACCCAACCAACTTCGTCTCCTTGGGGTCTTGTACATTTGCCGGCCGCGCAGAGCTCGTCGTCATCATCATCGTCATCATCCTCTTCAACATCAACTATTTCTTCCTGTTTCACCTTGACCGCTTTTTCTTTTCCTTTTTCTTTATCCTTCCGCCGTCGTTTCTTTGTTATCTCCGTTTCACTTGTCGTGTTGGAAGCAGAACTGTTACTTGACAGTTTTTTTGTTGTCTTGTCTTTGTCCTTTTCGTCGTCGTCTTTCTTTTTGCGCTTTCTCTTCACCTTTTCTTTGTCGGATTTCGCCTCAAAAAGCTGCAAAAATTTGAAAATATCATTGAAGGGTTTTCAATTAAGTATGGAAGCAAATATTTAATACGAACGAAGCGCTGTGCTTGACTAAATAATCTAGCAAATTTTTATCAACCAATTAGGTTTTCTTTGATTTAATAGCTGCTGGTATAGTGATTGGTTAGTGTGTTGTAGTTTTTCGGCACCGACATTAGAGGAAAAACATAGTCTTGAGTGTCATTCGTCACATACATGCAATAATTTTTTTACAAAGCGTTCCTTACCACAACACTGCTCGAAAAATAGGATTATTCATGAAAGCGACTGGGATGAAAAAGCAAAGGCTGCGGACTACACCAATAACTTGTAGATAACCCTCTACCGACTGTTTTGGCGTTTTGTTTTCATTAAACCAAGTAATGAGCCTCTTGAGTTTCGAGGGCGCGATTAAACTGGCCGCAGAACGCACAAACTCACACTTCTTTAGCAGGTGCGATAATGTGCTGTTACTTCCGCTTAGGAGTTCACATTCTAAAGAAATAAAAGACAATTATGTTATTTTTGTACCTGTGTTTCTTGTTCTTCACGGGTCTTCTGACTTAGTAACACTTTCCACAGTTGTTCAGTTTCGTCAAGTGTCACCTCCAGTAAATCACCCTCCATCATCAGTGTTTCGGCTCGTGCTCGCTTCTCCTCCGAAAAAGCCGGTCTAGCTTCGGCTGCACTTGTACTCCCTTCGTCAGTGACAGAGACATCACTTGATGCGGCGGCCTTCTCCGAGTCGTCATTCTGAAGGCCTCCTTGGGCGAGCCGCAGTAGCGCAGCTGACGCAGACAAGTTTTCAGCACTAACTCCTTGAGGCCAGCTGGTGGAAGTTCTACTAAGAAAAGTCAGCAAAGACACAACATCCTCGTCAGCAAGAAACTGCCGCGCGCGATCCTGCCAGTTCATTGCTCTTTCAGTGAGAAACTGCAGTGCTTCCCCTTCGGGGAGACGCACGGGCAGTTTTTGTAACGACACCAACAGAGACAGGATAGTCTCCAGACGCGGTCTTCTGGATCTTAAGCAAAGCGGGCAGAGATACTTCAGCTCTTTTGCTGCTTCCAACGCCGCTGAGCCTTTGCCCATGGATTTCCCACCCTGGGTTCGTGGTAGCGGCACACAGGAGCCATGATACCACTCTTTACACAGCTCACACTGCAGCATAAACCCGTCTGGTCCCCGCCGACATATACAGTACTGCCCGTCCAGGCTTTCTCCCAGTTTGCGTTTATTGTCCTCTTCCTTTTGTCGCTGTATATTAGCTTCACGCAAGTGTCGCATTGTCTCCATTTCTTTTCTCTCAGTCTCTCTAAACTCAGCGATTTGCAAGGCAGGGTCTCTGCCGATGTACTCGTCTAACGCAACAAGATCGATTATCACCTCTTTTTCCTTCTCTTTCTCCTTTTCTTTTTCCTTCTCGCGCTTCTTGCGTGGTTTTGGGCATGCCTTGTATAAACCCACGTCTGTGCGAGGAGACAAGATCTGTAAAAGAAACAAAAAAAGGAATGAATTTTCTCGCCAACTATCCTTCGACAAATATGTTTTTCCTAAAGGTTATCAAAAGATGAGTTAGAGTATGACTTGCCTCCAGCAGTGTAGCTGTCGAGTTCTTTTTGAGAAATGTCCTTGCCGCGCGGTCCCTCCAGGCGCGCGCAGCTGCCACTTGGGACTCCATCTGTGGGAGCTGTTCCAGACGTACAGGAATGGGCCTCCCTCGCATCACTAACGACTCCAGCACGTCAAGGTAAGGATAGTAATTGTCATTCTAGAAGTACACCATAAAGCAGGTTACGATGACTACAACTCGGTTAAGAACGAACACCGCACCCTTAGCTTTCGAGTACTTCTTGTATTTCTTGTGAATGAATTCAAAACTTGAAATCTCCAAATTCTCTCCAAAAAGCTTCCAAGAAGAGAGGCGTTCTAAGAGGTTTTTAAACTACTTGACTTTACAGTTGTGTCAAAAACTAAAGAACAAAACGCTGTGTTTTCTGTTGAGATATTTTCTAACGTGGTATGAATCTCAGGAGTGGACAAGCCTATCTTACCTGAACCTGATCGACCTTGTCAGACCACTCACGAGCCTTACGCAGAGCTTCTTTGAGGGCGCTTACATTTGGTAGGTACAAAGGCACACGAGATGCCTCTTGTATGATTGCCTCCACTGTAGCCATCACGTGACGCGGCCTGTTATAAAACAATACAGTAATTTACAATGAGTATATTATTGTCCACAGTAATCACCATGTTCAGAAAATGTGAGCTGTTGATGTTTACTTTTGTCCAGGAAGAGTCATTCACTCTGTAGATAGCATTTTTTCACACTTTTAGGACAACTGGGGTTTATGTAGCAGCTGCTCGGAAGAGAAGTCACCAATTTTACGTTCCCCTAACCCCAGACAATACTAAAACAATTGGAAGAATGACATGACATTGTTTCCTGCGACCAATCAGGAGAGACCTTACAAGCAGCTCCTACTCTAAAGCTTCTAAAACAAAATTACTAAAATACAGCTATATTACTTATCCCAAGTCTTCCTCTTTTCCCCCTCCAAAACTCTCTTCAATGTTTACGTCACCTAGTTTATAAATGTTTATAGGTCTGCTTGTTTTTTTCGTTAGATTCCAAACGACCTTTTCTTTCGTTTTAAAGATGCAGGGTATAAGTCACATGTATGTTTCTTACCTTGCTTGAAGGCACAGTTTTGCTTTTTCTTCCCACCGTTCACCCAGAGCCACAAGACCACGGAGCTCGCTGACTGCTTTCTCAATTGCTGTGGAAAAAGAGATGATTGGGCAAAACACGAAACTAAGATTCTGATTTTGAACTCCACAATGGCGTGAAATGTAAGGTTGCTATAATAATTTCAAAGGCTGTAGACAAACTTGAATACCTGTTTTCTGAGGAAGCGAGTTTCCAGTTTCAAGTAGTTCTTGTAGGGTATCAAACGAGACTTCTTCAGTGTTGGCAAGAGTGACATCTACCTGTTCTAACCAATTAGCCAAGCGTAGTTCCTGCAACACAGACAAAAAAATAAAATTAAGTACACTAGTAAGAAAATGCACATTATTTGAGTGTAAATGTATCATTTTACGTGGTTATCTGAGCCACGTGGAGGTGTACTGTTTGCAAGGCAATGGCAGTACCTTTACTTCTCAGTTATTTTAAAACCCCGAGTAATGGTCCGGTTGTGGAAACTCGCACTCTTCAGTCAAGTGCTCTACTGACTGAGCTAATCCTGCTGTGGTAACAGCAGAGACATTTGGGCTTTCACAAAAATACTTGTCCTTACCTGCTTGAGTTTGGGTATTTCAGGCAAATCAACATCCAAAGTGTGGCCATTGTCCAGTAGCTGCTGTAGTCTGGTCACGTCAGTTGTACCACTCTGTATCACCTTCTGAGCTTCACACTGAAAACTCTCCACATGTGTCATCAACTCCTGCAGGGACAATTCAGAACCAATCAGCCCGAGTGTTTGTGCATTGCAGAACAGATTGCAATTTGGAAGAGTTGGCTTTTGACAGGAGTGTAAACTGGCAAACTGGAATTACCCAAGCAAAAAACCCTCACAGAAAGGAGGATAACTTGCAACTTACTTTTAACAGAACTCAAAGTAAGGCTGTGAAATAAGGATCAGCGATGGGGGCATCTGTCATGTATGAACCCGTTATTAGAAAACCAAAACATTCTGAAAAAATTCTCTAGTGTGTTTCCAGCAGCTTTTACTGAATGCTTTTTTCTTAGCAAATAACTGGTCACTTACTTGCACTAATTCAGCTTCTCTAACAACACAAGGCAAGTTCTGCAGTTGCTGCATAAATCCCTGCAGCTCATCAAGACTCAGACGAGTGGTTGGAACAGTATCTGAACCACCATGAGGCCTAAAACAAACACAACAAACATATAACGATAAGTTAGATGCATTTAAATGCAATTTAAAGAAGTTAACAACTAAGAGCACCTTAAGTGCCTGAGGTCAGCGGTTTTTGGCATGCTCATGCCCAGTAGCTGGCTACATTGATCATATGATGCATTGGCACCTTCAGCTTTCCTTTGTGCTGGGTTCTTTCAGCCATTTTCTTCCCCCTTCCTCCCCCTAGGCTTTGTTGTTTTTTTCTCCCCTGAAGTTTTCAGTGTGATGGGTGCCTGTTCCTTTACTTTCGTGTGGGGGCTCATGGCTGTGTTGCACTGTTGTGCTAGTCATGGGGGCATTGTTTCAATCTAGGGGCTGGCTGCCAATTGTGGAAGCCCCTGGATATTCCAGGCACCCAACCTCAACAGATACTGTCCTCATGCAGGAGAGAAGAGATGAGAGTGTGTTATGATCCTATTAATTATGGCTGCGATAGATATGACATAGATCACACCAAATTCCTCATTGCTGAAAACTAACAATGGGTTATTGCTTAGTTCCTGCAGTTCATAACTACATTGAAGGATCATAGCTCCTGGAATCTGAAAAATTTCTCCAATAGCTTCCCTGTTTAAAATTTTGATTGCATTTGGATTTCAACGACATGCAAACTTCAATATCATTGTACCTGGTTCTGTGCTTCCTGCTGACCAGTTGAAGAGCAACACTAGCACAGCGTTCAGCTTCTGCTACTGCAGCTTTGAGCTGTTGGAACAAATCACAGTCAGGGAATTGGCTCTGCTCTGCAGTGCTCACTAGATCCTTTAGCTCTGAGACATCTGTCAATCAAAAACAACAACTAATACGTCAGTAAGATATAAACAGCATTTCCAAGTTGTCCCAAGCCACTGTTTAAATCAAGGATAGTTGCAAAGCCTTTGATATGAAAATAGCTTTTTAGGATCAATTTAGGTCTCTGGGAAACTGCCCACCTACCCCTCCCCTAAGTCAACATTAACACTTACTTCTCACTTAGGGAAAAATGTTGGGTTAGGGGAGGGGTAGGTGGGCAGTTTCTCAGAAACCTAAATTGGTCCGATTTTCATTCTCATACAAATAAAAGTAAAGCATTGCTTTCAGAAGAATGGCTTTTTACTAGGCTGCAACTTGATGAGGGTTTTTGAAACTTAGAAATGGCCTATTCCTGTAAAGTTGGTCTCAAGATGCAAGGTCATTAATCAGACTGTTAAAAGTTTTCTTTTCACTGTAGGCTGTAAGCATTAATGAAAAAAAAATCTTCAATAACTCACCAACTTTAGGATCTGAAGGATCTAAGGATCTCTTGACTTCAGTGGCCCAGTTGTCAAATGAATCAGCTCTTCTCTTGAGACGTAGCAACATAGAAGGTAACTCTTGAAGAGTGTACCTGTATCTAAAATGAAATAAAAATAATACATTAATAAGAACGTTCACAGTTGTTTGCGATTTTTCCTCTTCACAATGTATGTAACATTTTGAGGTATGTTGAACATACCAACTACTTTTATATACCTCAAACTTTTCTCGTTCGGTTCACAAGAGCACAGTTCAGGGACACAGTCCATGCATATCAGTTTACCTGGACACAAAAATAGATTTAAATATGTTAAATATATCACAAAAACTAGATACAAGAAGTGGAAAATTAACCCATAGGTGACCATGTGAGGTGGTGTCAAACTACATCTTACCAGGGCTGCATGAACACTGGACAGCTGACAAAAAGCATGTGGTTTTGCATACACGGCACTGTCGCTCATCATCGGGTAGCAGCTCAAACGCTTCACCTCGTTCAAACTCTGGAATACCCTGTCCAAGATGAAACTGGCTATTAAACTGGCAATGGAAAGTTGGCTAGTATTAGCAATCACAACCTAGTCAGTGAGAAAACCTACCCTGCACCACACTTCACACTAAGCTAAAATTATAACTCAATGTAACCAGTGGCAATGCTGGTAAAATTAGCCCATTATCACTGACGTTTTCAGTTTTTCAGATCTGTGTTCAAATTTCTCAAAGAAAGTACAATGCATAAATGTATAATTGCAGGGTTGGGTCATTAAAGAAACTATTGACACGCAAACAGTGCTTAATTTGCCAAGCTCTCTACTTTTGTTTTGTTGCTAATCCATTTGCAAGATGATTAAAAAAAATCCTCTAATAAACCACTTAGCATTCACAGCTTACCATTTTTGCCAAGCGATGCCTTCTATTAGCTTCCTTTTCCACAATTGCAAGCATTTCATCATAGACTGCTTTGGCAAGGTCCAGATCTAAACCATCTGGATCTGCAGCCATCTTACAAACCAACTCCTCATGAGAGAAAACTGGGTTTCTAGCCATCTCTCGGTAGTGTTGAATACAGTGACGACCCATAGGCAGCTAAAAAAACATTCAAATGAATTTTTAATAATTACACGTAAATAAAAAAAGCAGGTGTAATAAGTTTTTAAATGGACAACAAGAAAATGTAAGTGTATAAATAATAATTTTGGTGCTGTGTTTGTAAGGTAATGAGACAAAACTGAGTTGATAAGACAAAATGAATTGGTGCCTGGAAATTAAAACAATATTATCAGCGAAAAGCTAGATTCTCCGTAAAGGAACAAATGTGACATTACAACCTTCCACATCACAGCTTAAGTCCACATTACACAAACCACTTCAATTAGCCTCAGTGATAGAATTCAAGAGAGCAATTCCTTTTTTTGTTACAGGGGAGCAAAGCAAGAAGCAAAGAGGGAAGTAAAGGAAACTGTTGTTAGTTTGTATAAGTAGGATAAAGTCAATTGGCCGTATGCAAGAGATTTGTTAAAGCAATTTCCTCTTTCTTTGCAGGTGTGTGTGTGTGTGTGTGTGGGCTGGGGGGGGATGGGTAGGAAGAAGGGGGAGAGGCAGGTAGTCCCAGGTTTTCAATTACTTTTCCATAGGTGATTGCCGACCGATGGTGGAATAGGTGGCCGTGACCAAGAAAGGGGTTGCAAGGTCCCTTTCCTCTTGGAAGTATGGGGGTGCTCCCCTGGAAAAAAAGTGAAAGCTAGAAGCTCAGAAATAACTGTTTAAATATGGTGTTTTTTACTAACCAAAGAACAACTTTTTTTACAAACCTACCCATAAAATCTTAATAGATCAAAGAAAGAGATCCAAAAGGCAGCTGTTAGCTGCCAGTTTATTGAAGCCTCTGGTATATGTAGTCTGAGAATTGTTTTATCAAAGTTACCAGTGGTCATCACCTTAACATATCTTTACAGTGCATGCAAGTAATAAAGTATCAAGAATAAGACAACATACCCAATCAGCAGTGGCAAAATTGACAGCTTCAGCTAAATTCAGACCCTGATTAAATCCAGCATGATATGCTCGAGGAAACGTAACAATAAACTCGCCCGCATACTGATTAGTTCTGACCACAGGAACTCCCTTGGCTGTGAGTGCATTAGGATTAATAATAGTGACAAGTTGATGAAGAAGATCAGGCTGTGCTTCAAACAACTCTGGGGCGGATTCTTTCATAGAGTGCTCAAAATCTTCAGCACAGTCTCCTGGCACACCGTACCATGTCTTTGGTTCACCCCTGCAAAACACAGCAGTTACATGTGACACAACTTCTAGTTTTACTGCCAAATTCATTGTATCATGATGGGTGTTTTGCAAACATCAAAGGAATTTCGGCTTCTTCAATCATCTTAGCGGACCTCTTAGGAAACACATTGTTTACTTGAACAAGATCAAAAAGTCATGGTTTCTGATTTGTGGTTGGTAGATTTCTATCCATTTTTTTGTTTCTGTGTTTCAAGGTTTGTTGCCAAGGATCGTCTTGTTTCGGGCAATAATCGACTAGTTTGCTTCGAAGATCTTTCTGATCTTTCTTATTCTTGTCACTTGCAAGAGTAAAGCAATGTCTGCCTCCTTCCCTCAACAAGAATTCCACTCTTCATTGTGATTTCTTTTGCTATTCTTTAGAAGTCAAAAATCATTCTCAGTTTTGTTTTTGTGTGCCAAGCTGGGCGAGTGCCTTGCATTGTGATTTCCATTAACCCCACCCCCACTCAAACCATTGACTAAACAGAAAAACCCAAAATCCCTTCAAAGTTTGCAAAAAGTGCAGTGCAATACAATGAATTTTAAGTTACCTGGGGGAATGAACCAGACACTAAAAAAACTGCTTGTGCATATTATTATGGTATCTAGTTTGCTTTGTGCCCTGGGTTTTGGGGTAGAAATAAAAAAAAATTTGCTAACCAATGCATGTAGTTAATTGAATAGCTCCAGTGATCTTCATTGTGCCAACAAAAACTGCTGAAACACATTCCCACATATATCCAAGGAACCTGCAAAAGAAAATCAAAGTTAACATAAAAAAGCTACCCCAATGACTGTTGTTGGGGCGAGGGAAAAGGAAGTATAGTTTATTTTTCGCTTAACTACCCAAGGACATGAACTGAACACAGAAATAGAGGGTCAGAGCTAATTATAACAACAAACCTTCATTCCTGATATATCAGCACTGATGTGTGACAACACTGATTTTTCCAGATTTGCAAGATTATTGAGATTCCAACCTGACTTGGCATAATACTACAAGGACAGATAAAACAGAAATAAAAAAACATAAACAGGCTTATCTCTAGAAATGAAAATAACTTGGACCTTAGCTACTTCTTCAGCCATTACACAAAATTGTGTATATATTTCCATTGGAGTTCATGTTGGGCAATTGGGGCTAAATAAGAGCACTTTGTGATGTCTATCATTAAGAGGATTAAATTGAATATCGTTCGTGTGTATTTTTAGACATAACTCACTGAATGACAACAATAACATGTTTTAACATTAACACCAGCCTCCTCCATTAACAAACTGAAATTTAATCCAGAAAAGCAGAATATAAAACTGACAGAACTTGACTGCCCAATGAAAATCTGCCATTAAGAACCACTGAAGCTTCATAATTCACCTCCTCCTCACTGGTTACAGCATTATATTTGTATGGAAATCCACTTCCATGAACAGATGTGTGCAGATCAGCACCATACTCCACAGTCACGTCTTCATCTGTTGATGAAACAAGTCTCCAGAACTCTTTCTCTACAACATCAGTGGGCACCTGCTCTGGTGGCAGTTTAAAGTATTCTCTTTTGAAGTTATCAGCCATTTCTCCAAATGACTGAAGTGTGTATTCTCTCTTAGCTTGTTCAAATCCAAAGGCTTCTACAGGTTTATTACACTCCTGCAGACAGACAAAAAATTACTTTCATCAAAACATGCACTATTGTAATAATTTACAACTAACTTCACACAATTCAAGGAAAGTTGAATAAAAGATTTATTGCAGGTGATGAAGGAGCCTGCCACCTTTTAGTTGGTCAGTGGCACACTTTTAACTGTCTAGCGAGATTTTCCCCAAATCTGTTCACATTCTTGGAATTCCAATGTTATACCAACTAATATGCATGGTATGTGGCCGCGAAGGCCCTGGTGTTGAGTTTACAGTCCGTCTGATGCTAAGGCTGATGTCACAGTAAACATGTGAATGCATATGCATGTAATGCAACAGTCATTATTACAACTGACTCACTAGCAGACTTAATTCAGGTTAAAAAGTACTGTACTAAATGGGAGACTTCGTGCATGACTGGATACACGCATTACTTGTGTCACGCATTACTGTTTCAATGTATCTTTGCTGGCAAATACAACCGTCTCTCCTCACTCCTCACCATTTGCAGGCTAATTGTATCTAAGCAACTGTGAATAAAATCACTGAATTACATATGAGTCTTGTTTACTGTGTTGTTCAATCCAGTTTTCATGATCCACAGTGATTTCCTTTATTGACACTATAACTCTTATAAAAGGGCATTCACATTCATATGAAAGCAGTTTCGCCCGCATTTCATAGCCAACGGCTACTGCTAGTTTTAATCTATCAACTCAAGATTTAAGGACACAGGCTTGAAGGTTCTAACTCATGGATCAATAAATAAAATTTCTTCAGAGGGAAAGTCAAATGTTGACTATTTCTTTCTTGAGTTCCAAAGTAGTGTAAATATGCTGGGAGTTTTTATTAGTATGAACAGCCTCTACAAAATTATTACAAAATAAAACCACCACTCAACTTCAGAAGTGCCTTAATGCAAATACATGAAGAGTAAAACACAAATTTGACAAAGATAACATTTATGCAAGTGCATGCAAGTGAACTTAAGAAAACACAAGAACTAGGCAGTGGTAAGAAACTAATGTTCAAATAAATGTAATACTAATAAGCTTATTGCTAACCTCAGCAACACATCTTGGACACCTCCAGTCTCCCCGAGGGACAGAAGCTAATGGCGGAATCAAACAGTAAGTATGATAGCTGTCATCACAGCCATCACAAAGTAACATGCTTTCCTCAGAATCACCTTTGCTGCATACTTGACATAAATATTCATCCTGTTGGGTAAAATGAACAAGATATTAAAGCAGAGATACAAAGTTTGAGACACGCTGTATGAGGACAACATTTCTGCTCTACCCTGGACAGGGTACTGTGGGGGTAATTTTCCAATTTTTTTTCTTGCAAGTTATTGACAGAAATAGATCAAAGAGTTTGCATTTCTTTACTTTGAAATCATGACAAAAGCAAATGCAATAAGACAACCAACTTTTACCCAACCACAAATAAACAATAATTACAAGGGGGAATGAGTCTCAAAGTAATGTTAACCATCAAGGTTAACACTTTTAACTATAAGCTGACTATAAGCAGCCCTCCAAGTCTGAACCACCAGTGACTTTTGAAATAAGAAAATAATGATGAGAGAGGCATGGGTGGTTTTTTTGGATGAACAGATTTTGTATGGCTACCCTTTGTAGGAATAATGACATTCACATTTACCAGGACAATTTTTGGGTAATAATTCTTTCTGCTGGCCATTCTCACTGGTCTTCTTCTACTCATCTCGCACTGTTCCTTCTGTAGTACACTTTCAAATTTAAGCTTGAGAGCTTGCTTAAGTCTTTTTTGTTTAGAGGGAGAAGGTGAAGTCTTGTCTGGTGTCTTAGCTTTTGGTTTGACATCCTCACTGAATTCCATTTTGACTGGGCTATCTTCAAGTTCTGCTCGTAAATAATAATTGTGTAGTAAATTAAACGTAGTGCAATGCATACTGAAAGAGTAAGTGAACAAACAAATACTGCAAATAAATAAAGACGGTAAATGTTTTTCACCAGGATCCCAAAGCATACTTATTAAGTGAAAACAGCTGCAGGGTTTCTGATAATACTGCAATGGCGTGATTTTGCTCAATTACCTCAGTTCTCATGCATTATATAACTACTAAGAAATCTCACAAAAAGACCTTGGCTTCTATTTTGTAACTTCATCCTTGAGTTGATCACAAGAATGCTCCGAAGGTAAAAATTGATTAATCTGGACAATCTTGCTCCCTTTTACTTACACATTTTATAGCCATTATAAGTGCTTATCTATCGTGATTTCCTTGTTCCTGATTGCTTAGTGCACTGTGAACCATCAAGGAAACTTCACCAAAATAGTTGTTATCGGTTTGAGTTTGACCACCAGTTTGAAGGGATTAGACCTGATAAGTACAAACCACTGACTCTTACAGACTGGTTTTTTGTTCCTGGAATGTTTTGTGAAAGTATTGTTATTGTGACGACTACTTGGTAGTAAGTGACTATTTTCATATCTTACCTTGCTTTATGTTAAATTCCTTTTTAGGTTGCAAAGTGCCCTTAGTCAACCCAGCCATTTTAGGACCAGGAGCAAGGAACTGTAACTTCTTCAGTTCTGGGTTGTTTTCAAAGTCTATTGAATTAAGCTGAAGAAACACACAAGAATGAATAAGACTTTGTCCAGATCAAATTGAAACTTGGAAATGTTGGCTTTTGATGAAAGGGGAAAACCAAAGTACCTGGAGAAAACCTCTTGGAGCAGAAAAAAGAGCCTACAATGAACTCAACCCTGATATGGTGGCCGCGCTGGGACTCAACCCTAAGACACACTGGTGGGGGGAAAGTGATCCCACCAGCGCACCATCCCAGCTCTCACTCAATCCATATAGAACTTGTAGGACTTAAAGCTTTACTTCTCACTAGCAAGCTTAATAGGCATTGCTTGATTTTCACTTAGAGGCTTAACATAAGGAAAATCACATGAAGGTGGAACATCCAATATCATTTTGTGGTGTATTTTACAAAAAGTATTTGTGGTGTATTTTTTAAAAAAATAAGCCTTTTTACCTCCTCGGCAGTAGCTTTTTTTGACCTCCGTGACATCTGGTAATTGGTGTTTGGTGCATTTGAAATGAAGTCCCTATCTTTTTCCTCTTTCTTTGTATCTTCATTCTGATAAGACAATATGAAATATTAACCTCTGACTGGGTTTAGATTCTGAAACAACAGAGCAGGATGCAGAGAAGATTACTACGTTTTTAGACCTTCAAGAATTTATAAAGAAAACTGTATTTAATAAATCATTTCCTTTATGGCTACTGACTGCATCTTCATCAAATTCTCAACACTTCTCCTTTTCCCTCCAAAAATAAAGTACCAAAGTGTGACGTCATAAAAATGAAATTTCTGAAATTATGGGATTTGTCAGGATATTCTGAAAGAACAATGTCCAAGAGGCCTACTTGCCAAAAATGAGCATTTCAGGGTGAATTGTCTCTGAGATCGTAGCCCAGTTATGCTTAGAAACCTCCATACAAACCCTTCTAAATTTTTTTGGGGTCGCCCCCCCCCCCATTTTTTTTTTTTTTAATCTTCCCAATCCCAACCTGTAATAAGAAAGTCTTATAGGACTGTTTAGGGTATTAAAGTCTTTAAAGTAAAAGTACTGTAGTAGTGATATCATGAGATATTTTCGATGAACATCGTACATGTATAATTCAATGACAATGAGACACATTTTTTATGATAAGCATTTCCATAACCAAAAAATAATCCCTCAAGCTTTACTTGGACTTGTACGTCTGCAATAATTCTCACTGTTTCAATCAAACATTAAATTACTGAGAATTTCAAATGCACCAACTTCTTGGAAGGACTACAAATTTCTTGTGACTTTTCCACCACAGATGATGGAGTCATTTTGAAAACAAGGGGTCACTCCATACCACTATATATGATGTATACATTGCACATTGTCACAGAAAGGATTATACACGAGTCCTTACAGTTCCAAACAACTTTTCATTCTAATCATTTTAAAATGTTTGTTATATCTTAGACAAGTTGTTAATTAAAAGATTTTACTTTGATACCACATCAAAGGCCAAAGATTTACTGATAAACTGTGTCTGTAATTTTAGTTTTATTCATGCACAAAAGTAGTTACATTTTTTATTGATATATGTACATGTAGTCTTATGTAAATAAATGATTGGAAGTTGTGGGTGTTTCTTGGCATTGCCGAAACAACTGTTGGTTTGCAAGTTGTTGAATACGTCTTTGCTGAAATGAAATTAATCGAGAGTGCAAAATGTATTTTAGAAATATTGTCTTAAAAAACAAAGAAAATGTATCAGGGATAATAAAAAGAGGTGTGTGTAAAGATGTGAACAGTGATTTTTAAGCGGTAAACAGTCACTAATATTATAAATACTATGAATTTCTAAAGGCCACTAAAAGGAAAATAGGAAATTCCAGGGGGGGTTATATAAGACCCCTCCTGGACGGAAATTCCAAGGAGATGGGGGGTGGGGTCTAATCTGAAAAACCATCCGTGGGCAGGAGTATAGACATTTTCTGGAATGACACAATTCTCGTCATCAGACTTGGACGAACAATACGGAGAATAAGTTGTAAATAATCAGAGAAATTAGACAAAATTTCTCTAATTTCTCTGATTTAATGTTGTTTACTAACCCCTGGCTGGGGATCACCAGTGAAGGCTCCTGCTTGGAAGATGTCATAAGGGTACAGATACTTCTCATAGTTCATCCGTAATAAAGATGGAGCAGATTTGCCAACTTGATAACCCATCTGTAAAGGAAATTAGAAAAAAAAAACATGTTAAGAGGATTGGATATGCTATGCTGTATGTAGATTCCATTCTTAGGTTAAACCAGTATTTTCCTTGCCATGAAACAAAAGAAAATCTGAACTAAACTAGGATAAATACTGGCTTAACAAAATACTGACTAAAACTGAAGAACTCTATTAGAAATACAGATGTTCAGAGAATTTGATTCCCACCTAGAAAAATCAGGCTTTCTTTAGGTACCCAAACCTGGCCTCACCTTGTTGTACAATGTTGATGATAAGATACATATTTCCTTTGGGACTAAAAACTAGAGATCTGAGCTACAACTTCACTTTTAAGACTTAACTAATTAACATTATAAGCAGCAGATTACAACATCAACCATAAGGATGTCATGGACTCATCGTGCAACAGGCTAGATAACATGCCTTTTGACAATTTCAGAAAGGAGGAGCTTATGAAATGGTTGACAATTTTGTTCATGGTTTTACCATTAGGAGAACCTTTAAAGTGGCTTGTCAAGTTGGGCATTTTTTTTCAGGAAGATTACCTCAACTTTAAGGATTTTTAACTGTTTATCCAAAAATGCTATACAGCTGTAGTTGCTTTCAGTTTATAACCAAGAAGCTACTGTTATTTAGTACACTAAGTCTTGTTTTGTATTCCCAACTTACAAGGCTGTTGCTACTTATTTTAACATTGCCAGCATAGACCATGGCAGAACAGAATAATTTGAGACGACTCTCTTCTTTATGTGTGTTATGACGCAGCTTGCATAGGCCCAAAAGATAGAAGACACAATGGTAAATATACCTTCCGAGCAACAATGGACCATTTCTTCTTCCTTGTTATATACTCAAAACCTCCTTCCTGATTCACAGTCTGACAAAAAATGGCCAAAAATTAATAAATAGAGAAGATTTGGTATAGTAAGTTAGACCAGTACCCTTACTGTGTATTAGACAAGAGAACTTTTTGTACTAGTGTGAAATCCAATGTACCGCTAAATATCCTAGATTTTAGAACAGAAAACAATTCGCACTCTGTAATAGTTCCTGTCGCATGCAGGCTATGTATATTTTACTCCTCCAAATGGACCTTGCCTTCAGCAATGTCTATTTGTGTTTACTCATTCAATGATGATAGTTTACAGATGTCTGCAGAAAAAAACAGTTGAAAACAGATCCAAGGGAAAAAGTTTTGCATCCCTTCAATAAAATGACTTTGTGGCTTAAGTGGTAACAAGACTATAACATAATGTTAAGTGAAGGAGGCAAGTAAAAATATTACTAATATTTTGGTTACAACAGGCAAATAAAAGCTGCCACTTCAAGACAAAAGGCAAGTGGCAGCCCACATTTGCAGGGGACAACCACAGAGATTGTCATTTGCATCAAAAACATAATTCTTTTGATAGCTTGAAGCAACAAATACAGTACTAAAAATATGTTGCAAAAGCATGTTTCAACCCTACTTTATCCATAATAAAATAATATAACTCTTCCGTTTTCAATCGTAGACTTTAGATAAATATGTCTAAGTAAGTGGTCTACAAATCTTTTAGATCCAGCAAAAATATGTACAAGGTTCTTAGATCTTTATGGGTACATTTGTTGGTTGTATTTGAAAATAAGAATACACAGAAAAGACGCTTCCACAAGGACTAAAGGCTTGTGGGCCACACACAACAATCTAAGTCTTGTATTTTAACCAGGGATAGAGATCTGTGCACGAACAAGCTATTTCTAGAGAATATTTCAAGTATTCACACACCCACATTTGGCCCATCAGCACACCATAAGATGTAGATGGCATACAAGAATTAACTAAAGGTTTAATATGATTCTGTTTACACCTTGTACAAGGAACTATTTAAAGATCACAAGTGCCTGCTTGCATTTCCTATTTTGCTCCTAAATTCAAACAGCTGTTTGCCTTGAAGTGAAAGGGCACTGGAAAAACGCCATTTTAGGTAACATTTTACATAAGAAATACTGGAAGTTCACTTTCAATTCTCAAAACACACCCTCTATAAAACAAGGGTAAGCACAAAGCTTCATTCTTCCGAAGGACACAAAGAAATGTTGCCATGAATACTGTTAAAGAGGAATATTTCGATGTGAAAGATGCACACCAAAATGGATACTAGCAATAAGAGTTCTTTATCCAATCATTTGCCTGGTAATGGAAGGTAAGTCCTTCCTGGAACGAAGGGAGTGGTGCTTAACAAATGTACGGACGTAATTGAAAGTCCACGTTGCATTCAGTAACAGAGACTTTTCAATTTTCATGAAGAAATGTCCCTGGTTTCTCTTACCTTATAAAGACGAAATAAGTCCAATGATTTTCTTTCAACTGTTGGAATCTTAAAGGATGTTCCCTGAAAAATGAGCCATCCAACGACGAAACCAGTTAGAGTGAGGAGAATTTTTTTTCAGAATAACAAATGCGAAGTAAACATGACGAAACCAATATGGCTGCCATCGAGTTAAGGTTTCAACATAGTGAACATTTACCCAACAGGGAAGACGTTTAGACAAACAATATTTACCTGAAGTTCCCAGAATTTGGCAAGGCTGTCTAAAAAGTTTAGTTTCACCCTCGTTCTTGCCTGGATAAAAAAGGAAGAGCTGTTAACGAGGAGCAGTTGAAGCAAAAAGAGAATTTTAATGGGAGGGACACATGTTGGCTACAATCACTATACATAGTTTACAGGCAAAACTTAGAACTTTCTTGACAAATAAAACAGCGTTTAACTTTTTTAGACGTAAGAGTATGAATCAGAGATCTATGCGAGCCACTTTTTGTGCTCTTCGGAGCAAATTTCGGTTTGTTATTACATGTGATACTCAACGGATTTCTTGAAAAAAGACGAACAATTTTATATTACCTCTAGCTCATTCAGACGCTGTATCCTTGGTGTGAATCTAAAACTTTCCACGTCTACTGAAAACGGGGGCTGCCAATCCTAGGATTACACGTAAGAGTTAGTACCCCTTTGATAGCTAAATGGATGCCATCACATCAGAAAATAAAGACTTTTCTACGCGAAAAAAAAAAGATTTCTAACCGGGGGAGGTCGAATCTTGCAAATGCCAGTTTTCTCGGCATAAGGCCTTATCTTTGCAATATATGCCAGAGGGTCCTGGAATTCCTCTTCAGTAGGTTCAAAGACTGGGGCCTCTGGAGGTGGGATAAAAACGAACTCTTCAACGTCGTCCTCCATGACTGCTGTTTAGTCAGGACAAGACCAGCCATTTCAAAACAAAGGACTTGCATTTCGCCGAGACCAACGCCATTTTTAAAATCGACTAATCATCTCATATGACTGACGGCTCCACTCGCTTTTTGTTTGGATGAGCACGTGACGGTCAGTCTAGTGTGTGATTGGCTGTGAGCTTTCCAATCATGACGTCAAGTTGCCACTGAAATGAGGAGACAAGTGCTTGAAAATTGCTGAAAAAAATCAACTCCACACGGGGAAGTAAATAGAGATTTGACCCACGATTTAAAAGTTGCAGTCACGATTCGTTTCACGCAGTCAACAGATTTTACTCATCTGATACAGTTTAACTCGTGCGTGATTGGAGCACGTGAAGCGAAAGTTGATTTCCGATTAGTCCGTGACAGCCACCAGCAACATTTCCTGTCCATATTGCGTGAATAATTTTCAGCTGATTTATAAATATATACAGCAATCACGATTTCTTAATACAAAAAGCTCGATTTCAAGAATGGCTATAGTGGGTTATTTCGGGCCATCGCAAACAGATTTTTACCATTATTGTAGTTTAGTTATTTCTTGACGTAATAAGAATAAAATGCAGAAACTTATTCATTATTAAATTATATTCACTTTATACTTTTAAAGGCCGGCATCATTTTTTCACTCTTGCAACAGAAAGAGTTTCAGCCCTCAAATTGGACGGTGCAAAAAAGCAACTTTTCACTAAAATTAATGACAGTTAACAAATTGACCACAATTTTCTATGGTCTACACTCTGATCTTAAAGACCATAGAAATAACGTTATAAAATGTGCAAAACTGAAGTTGAACCACGAGCCGCAGGCGAGTGGTTTCACTGCAAAGTTTTGAACATTTTATGGCGTCATTTCTATGGTCTATAAGAGTGTAGACCATAGAAAATTGTGGTCGATTTGTTTTTTAAAATAACATTTTTTTTAACGAAAAACCAAAAACAAAACAACCGGCACTACGTGACATGTTAGGTCATTTCCATGGCCTATACTCTCATAAACCATAGCTCTCGATCAATCGGCTTGCAAGGATTCGCTCAGGTATTGTAAAAAATAAAAGCGAGTAGGCTGTGTATAAATATGGGACGGGGACAAGGGGACGGGGACATCGGGACGCGTATGGTACGCGGGGACGTGTGGGACGAGGACGCAGGGACGTCAAACACAGGGACGCGGGGACGTCAAATAGGGACGCAAGGGGACCCGGGAGACATTTTGTTTGAATATTTGAAGCAAGAGAGGGTCAGCTGGAGAGCGAAGGTGGTTTTGAACAGTTTTTGATAAATCTATCAAAGGACTCTGACCTAACTGAGGTTTTTTTAAGATCGACTGATACAATGGCAGGATTTAATCGGAAAACCGATTAATTCAGGATATAGCTGCAGAGCAAGTAAGACATACAGTGGAACCTCGATATAACGAAGGGCCAAGGGACATGGTCATATTTGTTCGCTATAACGAGGTTTCGTTATCGGCGTACTTTTCCAAATATTTTACTACAACTGGGGTAAAACATCGTTCCTTATACCGAGGACTTTGTTCAGCATAGAAGTTCATTATATCGAGGTTCCACTTTTTTAAGGGGAGGCAAGAGAACTTACGCGTTATTTCTAATTGTATATACTAACAGCCATTTCGATAAAGAAAGTTGTTGGGTGCGTGATTTCAGTTAGTCTATTATGTACACTTTCAACTCTATATTTAGTCCTCTGCTGAAGACAATTTTCACATCTTTTTTCCTTTCCTCCTTCCCCGCCTCTTTTTAACCTTCCGGGTCGGTATATTTTTTCTCCAAGTTCCTGAAAGCAGGGGCGTAGCTACCTGTAAGCACGGTACGCACGTGCGTACCTGAAAAGTCCAGGGTAAAAAAATAACCAAATAAAGAAAGAAAGAAGGTGAATACCTAAAAAGCTTTAAAACAAAATATGATTATTATAAAAGGCACACTTTGCCCTAATTCATTTAACTGCGCTTGTTTCTGGGAAATGTTATTTTCTAAAAGAACAGAATGTATTCTTCCACAACCGATTGTCAGTTTTCAGGAAAGCGACGTGAGTTACTTGTGTACCGAATATTGAATGTACAGTATATTTAGGAGGAAAATAGCCCACAGATAGCAAGGTGAATAGTATAAAGCGTGATTGGCTCATCCTGTCTTTGCAGTGGACTAAGTAGGGCACGTTTACGTGAACGCGGGGTATGATGATTTATTTCATATATCATTAACGCAGGGTGCTTTTGTTGGTCAAAAACAATTAATCAATGCACCTGAATCTTGTTTGGGACGTTGAATGGGGAAGGATTTGGAATTAAAATTGTTCCTACTTCTGGAAAAATCCTGGTTATGCCCCTGGAAGGAAGTTCCAAACCACGTTGAGTTATCCCTTTATACCACGAGTTTGTGGGCGTCGCAGCTAGTCTCCTGGCTACAAATCACGCTATACGGAAACTACGCCCTCGCCGTTTGGATAGTGCTGCAGCTCATATAACAAGGTTTTCCAGTTGGTGATGAATAAATAGATCGGGACAGGATTTATACTTTTACATTGCTGTAAGCTTAATGAATAATCAGAAGCTGAATTGTTCTTGCCTCACGTATATATACAGTAGAACCCCGGTAACTCGAACTCCCCGCTAATTTGTTGTAATTCGTTTACCTACCGAGCACTTAGGAGTTCTTAAGAACTCATCGAAACATGGTTTTTATCCCAGGGAGTGGGGGGTACTCCAGATTTCAAGTGACGCCCGGGGATGATCGAAGAATTTTGGGGGGTTTTCGATTCCGGGATTTTTTGGGGTGAAAAGATTTGGCAAGTATTGTTTTGGGTGGCTTGATTTAAGTAGGGATTAGATTCGTGGTGATGCCCGCATATGCTGCCCGCGTAGTTCTGCCTGCAAAGTACAACCAAACTTGTTTTGCTTTCTTGAAATTTTAAAGGCTCGGAAATTCGACTTGGGATTTTTTAATTTGGGGGGCTAATTATTGGTCCAGGGATGATGTTTTGGATTTTGTTGGAAGCCCTAGATAGGGATTTTTTCGGGTTTTGACTTTTGCCCCCATACGATCATCCCTGTCACTTGAAATCCGGAGTACTCCCCCGCGCCCACCCCCACCCCCACCCCATACCGCAGGGGTTGTTAAAAATTTATTTACAGGCGATCCCAACCTCGTCCCCAGGGCTTTTCCCTTAAAAAATGGGTGGGGCCCACCCATTTTTAAGGGAAAAGCCCTGGGGACGAGGTTGAGGCGATCCGAGCCGCTGAAAGCCATCCAGCGGCTTCCCGCATGAAAGTTCGTTTTCACCGCCATATTCAAAATGGCGGCTGCCATAACCGATCCAAACGAACGAAAAGAATCACCTTTACCGACTGTAAATGAACGCTTGGGACATCTAAAACCTTCAAGAGAACTGCTTGAATATTACAGAAGGAAAATTGCGGAATATGATGGCGAATACGACGAAATGGCCCGTAAACTGGAGCTTTACAAATGTACCTATGAAGAACAGGTAAGCTTAATGTTTTTTGTATTAACAGTTAACAGAGAGCTTGCAACTCTGTATTTTGTCGCCGCTATACTTATTTATGTCATTGAGTTTAAAGAATTTTCCCTCCCTAAATTTTAAGCATAAAACACAGTGGGAATTGCGACAACGTGAAGAAGAAATCGCTGAACTACAGAAAGCTCTTAGTGACATGCAGGTCTACCTCTTTCAAGAACGTGAACATGTTTTGAGGTTGTATGCGGAGAATGACAGGCTAAAAATACGTGAAATTGAAGATCGCAAGAAGATACAACAATTGCTAAGCCTTTCTAAGACTACAGCACCAGAAATAACATATTTCCACCACCAGCCTCCTGCCAAGGCTATTGTCATCCAACATAAACCCAAGGATAAAGATGAACCGGGTAGGACAGCTAGGAGACGACCTCTGACTGGACGCGGTCCGGGGGGACACAAGAGAGGTAATTTCTATGGAGTTACCCCAAGGGAACGATTATTCATTGCGCCCCATGCGGGTTGATTCTCAGTAGAAGCTTCTGGTATGTTATTGTCTCTAGCTCGGCTAGTTTAAGGGATGTTCCATTCCATCATTTATTCCAATCGCCTCCCACATCCCTATCCATGGATGAGCGTCCTCTGCAGAAAACTAGTAGGAATCCGTTTTAAAGGGACATACACAAAATGAGGAGAGTTGAAAAGATTTTTTTCCAAAAAAAGGTGAGGTGGTAGAAATCTGCTCATCCATGGGTTGGCGGAAGGGGTGTTCCATTGTTTTTAGGCACTTCTTTTTGTCTAATATATACTAACTGTCACTGTTACTTACTGGGTAGGGTATGCAGAAACTTAAACTAGGCAAGGCTGTGCTGTAAGATTGAGAAAGACTGCACGGAACCCAGTACCCTAGAACTGTACAATCAAAGGTGCTCAGGGTATGACTCCTTAGTGGCCTCTGGGTGCTGAACACATTCCTTATTTGAAGGCCCAGACTGCACCTACTCACCTTGGACCAATTTAGGTTTCTGGGAAACTGCCCACCTACCCCTCCCCTAAGCTAACATTAACACTCACTTCTCACTTAGGACAAAATGTTGGCTTAGGGGAGGCTAAATATTGATCACTCATTTTAAACCTTACCCAATTAAGTTTTAATTGTAACCAAGTTTGCTGAGTTGACATGTTAATTTTACTTGTCTTACATATGGAGATTCCTCTGGAAATGTACGTCTAGTTAAAAACCCAGCTGAAATGGAAGACAACCAGACCCTTCTGCTTCAAATAGAGTCACTGCAAGCTCAACTAGAAGAGCAGACCAAGCTGGCAAAAGAACAAGTTGATGCACTGTTGGAAGATCGTCGAGTACACATGGAGGAACAACAAGCACAGAGAGAACGAGATTCAGACAAGATACAAATGATGCAGGAAAAGCTACGGAAAACACATGATCTTCTTTATGACAGCACAAAGGATTTCCTTGAGCTTAAATATGAGATAAGGGCCAATGAGAGACACTGGATGGTGGAAAGAGACAGACTTGTCCAAGAAATTGATCACTTGCGAGAACAGCTGGATGTGTCAGGTGCAAGCATATTGGAAGTGTCGGGTGAAGTTGTTGAACCTCGTCAGGCACAGCTCATTGCTGTACAGTCACTAAGACATCAGCTTGAACAGTCACAGAAACTTGCAGAAATGTACCGAGAGCAGTGTATTGGTCTAGAAGATGAGTTGGCAAGGATAAGGGAACGCACTGATGTTAGTGAGGACATTTTCAAGGAGCGAGCAGAGAAGATGAGTAAGAGATTGGTTTTGATGAATTCCAGATATGAGAACTTAGAAAAGAGAAGGGCTTTGGAAGTTGAAGGGTTTAAAACAGACATTAAAATGCTAAGAGACAAGCTTAAGAATGTTGAAAAGCAGTTATTCAAGGTAAGCCCCTGTGTTTTCAGGGCTTTGTTTACAATTATTATTATTGTTTTGGAAAGTAAGTAAGTTCTATATTAATATTTTATCAGCGGAGTAAGCTATTGAAATGAAGCTGCTGCAGCCATGTATCCACACCGGTTTCCACCGTTTTACGAAAATCAGTCAACGTTTTCATAAATAAATAAACTTTTCTTGAAAAAAACTTTCCAAGTTAAAATCTGGACAACATTCTGACTGAATGACTCAGAGACCCAGGAAAGAGTGACTTTAGGGAGTAAAAATCAAAAAAAAATTTTCACAGGGGTACATGCCCACGGATCCCCCTACAAACGTATGCCTTCAGTGCTCGTTTAGGAAAATGGTCAGTATTCATCCTAGATCCACACCTGTGCTGAGTCTGGTAAAGCTAAAAAATAAAGTTGAGACTATGTTAGACTTGTCACAAGTTGACTGTGTGAGTGCCAAAGGCACAAGGAATGCTTGCGAATTAGGCCATGCCTGCTTAGTTATGTTTGAAACAAGGAATCTGATTGCAGATTCATCGTTTACAGCATGTAAAGATTAGTAAAAGATGGAGAAAACTTTACAATAAATCATCACTGTTCACAATTACTTCACTGCACAATAACCTTAAAAAGATTTGGTTTGAATGACTGAAATTTTCCTGTTCATTTCAGGTTACTGTTAACATGGGTGATGACTATGATGAAGAAGTTCTTAGGAATGTGCGGAAAACTGCTGGAAAATCAAAGAAACTTGTTGGAGAACTTCATAATCTTAAGGCCAAGATTTATTCATTAGAAAATGATATCAGACACATGGGATAAACTTGTTTTTTTTTGTTGTTGACCTTTTTACACTTTGAACTTTAATAAGCCAAGTAATTTTAACGTATGAGTAATGCATCAGTCAATTCCACCTGCGCACAGCCCTCCCCCCCCCCCCCCCCCAAAGGGGGGGCCGGGCCAAAAACCCTTTTTTTTCCCTTTGTGGGCAAATTTCTGGGGGGGGGCGCCTTTGAGCTTGAAAAACCCCCCCCGGGGGGGCAGACA